CGAGGCGCGCCGGCAGGGACGGGCCGAGGCGCGCCGGCAGGGTCGGGCCGAGGCGCGCCGGTGGCTGCTGCTGGTGACGGCTGCGGCTGCTGCTGGTGACGGCTGCGGCTGCTGCAGTAGGAGCGGCGACGGTGGGCCGCGAAGGGGCCGAGAAGGGCGGCGCGAGGGGCCGTAAGGGGCCGACGAGGGTGGCGCGAGGGGCCGTAAGGGCCCTACGAGGGCGGCGCGAGGGGCCGTAAGGGGCCGACGAGGGCGGCGCGAGGGGCCGACGGGCAGCGCGAGGGGCCGTAAGGGGCCGTAAGGGCGGCGTGAGGGGCCGTAAGGGGCCGCTAAGGGCGGCGCGAGAGGCCGTAAGGGGCCGTAAGGGCGGCACGAGGGGCCGTAAGGGCGGCGCGAGGGGCCGTAAGGGCGGCACGAGGGGCCGTAAGGGGCCGCGAAGGGCCGTGAGAGGGGCCGCTAAGGGCGACGCGAAGGGGCCGTGAGGGGCCGTGAGAGGGCGCGACGGTAGGGAGGGCACACGGGGCGCGACTCGGGCAGGAGCGAAGCCCGCTCCGGGCAGGAAAAAAAATCGTGGTGGGCCCTGAGAAGTGTTCCCACTAGGGAACCTGCTCTATACCATGTGAAAAAATGAGGAAGGAATGAATGAACTAGCAAGCAGGTGGGTACAAGTAGGAAAAACCTAAATGTGTTGTACCCCATATTGTCTACCCCACTACAGCCTACACAGACTATAGCATATGAGTTTGACAGTCTGGGCGCATTCTCAAGTTTGCCCACCATCAGAAGTTTGCCCACGCGACTCGAAATGTTTTTTTTTTTTTTTTTTTTTTTTTTTTTTTTTTTAATGGTAATTGATATATACACCGAGTGGACAAGCGTACAGATCAAGAACAGTCGTAACTGTGCTTAGAGGCTAAGGGCAGACCCTTGCCTCGGAAAAAGGAACCTGGGCTCTAACGAACTGCAGCCCTCGGACGTGACCAAATCGCCGCGAAACCATGTGACCATGACCACTTGTTGCTTGATTTGTCCCTGACCCTATCTAGTAGTCGCACCTCCTGACAGCTCCACTTGGCAGAGTCGTTGCTGTCCTTCCCCTTTTTCCGCGGTTCCTCGCCCATGTGTTTCAGGAAGATTTTTGCATGCAGCTTGAAGGCTACCTCAATCCGCCTGAGGACACGTTTTGCGCGAAATTGCCGGTCCCGAAAGACTGCATCGCAGCGCTCGACCCAGAGCTGATGTGAGCCAATCGCCGCAATTGTTGCCTCCGGGAAAGCTGAGCTGGAGGCTGTCCGCTTGAAAAGCAAGTCCCCCAGCGAGGTTACTGTGCGCGAGGGGTTAATCATGCGCAGTGCCTTCTTGAGCGCCAGAACGACAGCCTGAATTCTCGGGCAGTCGAAAAGGCAATGCTCCAAAGTCTCCACCTCTCCACAGTGCGGGCACTTCGGTTTGGAGCTGAGAAATGCCAGCCTCTCCCCGACCTGCAGGTTGAAATTATGGATGCGGATCAAAACGTCGCGTGGTCTGCTTGGGATGGCAATGGAGTCCCTGGTTTTTACTGCCCGCTTCCAGTCGATTTGACCCCCCCATCTGGAGGCCCATTTCTCCCTCCGCTGAACCTTTGGCGCTGCCTTCCCCCAGACCTTCCGCAGCAGCCTGACCGGTAGCACCGCCCCCTTTTGGAAAATCGGTGTGCGGAGCAGAACACCCCATGGTTTGTGCAGCGTCCTTCCCCTTCTTTGTGAGGGAGCCGAGCTAACCCCTCCTGCCACCACTGTGAGGGCCGCCTCACTGGGGAGCAACAATTTCTCCTTCCACTCTGGGGGAATAGCTGCAATGGCCTTCAGCGCCATCTTTGCTTGCCCCGCACCTCCCAGCCATGCCGACAGCTCCTCTTTAGTCTTAAAACTCATGCAGCCGTCCGTCCCTTCTGTGGTCAGCTCTCCCAGCCTGACGTCCCAGAGTCGTTTCGCATCCTTCTGACCGCCCACGGGGTTAGTGCCGTTCATCAAAATGCGACGATTGAAGACCACTCTCTCCCCTGCCACCTCTTTTTGAGAGACCGGGTCAGAGGCGACAGCGAGCGGGGAGCCCATGAAGGTCTCGCAGGTCTGCTTCCAACGGACACTCTTGCCCGGCCAGTGTTTCAACAGCCTGTCATGTGCTGTGAAGGTATCCAGCCCCATAGGTAAGTCCGCGGCCTTTAGCATCAGCTCCCTCTTCTGCGGATTGTTCACCGTCAGCAGTTGGCCGATCCGTCTGGCCGCTAGGCACGCCATCATGATTTCCGGGTCCCTGACGCCAACACCCCCTTCCGCTCTTGCAGCGAAGATAAGACCCTTCCCCCAAAGTAAGAAACAACCTTCTGCCGTCGCCTTATTTCCTAACATGAAGTTGTGAATCAGCTTCATGATTCTGCTCCACACCTCAGACGCAGGGGGGTAGACGATCGCTTGAAACGCGATGATCGGCGTGATGTACCCGTTGATTACCACAGCCCGCGCGGTAAGAGTGAGGTATTGTGACTCCCACTTCCTGAGCTCCCCCAGTATTTTCACTGTAGCCTTTTCCCACGTTGCTTTGCCGCTCCCTGAGGCTGTGATCCAGACTCCTAACAGCCGTTGCGGTTCATCTGCGTCTGCCCATTTGAAACCGTCCGTCCGCCAGGTTTTTTCGCCGAGGTTCCTCCCCAGCGGCATCACCACCGACTTATCCTTATTCGTGGCGAGGCCCGACATCCTCTCAAAATCCACTAGTAGCTTCTCCGCTTTTGTAATCTGCGATTTCCCCTCCAGCTGTAACGTGGTGTCATCGGCGTATCCCAAATATGCAAGCCGACGCCCCAGATCGCCCTCGAAGCCCAGCTTCCGTTTGACCGCCAGTTGTGCTAAGGGCTCCACCGCACATAAGAACAGGTACGGTGCAAATGGGCAACCTTGCCTTACGCCCGACACCACCTCCAGTGCCTCTCCTTTCTAGCCATTAATTAACAACCGCGTCCTCGTTTCCTTGTGCAGGCCTTTCACCCACTTAACGAACTGCTCCGGGAAACCCATCTTGCCCGGGACCGAGAAAAGAAAACTCCTGGATACTGAGTCGAACGCCTTTTTAAAGTCCACCAGGAGCAGGTACCAGTCCTCCCGCTTATTTTGCGCCGCTTCGATGATATCCGCCACTAGGCTGATGGCATCCGATATCTTCCTCCCCGGGATGAAGCCAGACTGCTCCTCAGAGATGACCAGGTGCAGTACTTTCTTCATCCGGTCTGCAACCACTCTCGCCAGTACTTTGTATGCAACGTTCAGCAGGGTAATCGGACGGTAGTTGTTTAGCTGACTTTTCTCCCCTTTCTTGAAAAGCAAGATTGTGACCGCTTCCTTGGTGTTTGCAAAGAGTGACGCCGAAGCGGTGAAATCTGCTACCAGCTTCATAAAACTCCGTCCAAGCACATCCCAATGGATTTCGAAGAGCTCTTTAGGCAAGCCGTCTAGACCAGGTGACTTGTTACACGCCATTGCTTTGAAGGCGCATTTCACCTCCGCTTCCGACCATTTTGCCGTCAAACTCTCCGCTGCTGCAGCTGACAACCGCTTCCCGGGAAGCGGCGACCAGTCCGACAAATGTGACTGCTTGTCTTTTCCAAAAATTTCACTGAAGAAATCTGACGCCACCCTCAGGATTTCCGCAGGTTCGTTCACCACCATGCCGTTCACTTCCAGCTCATCGATCTGCCTTCTCCGCTTCCTTTCCTTAATTTTCGCCGATAGCCTTTTCGACGAGACCTCTCCTTTGAGTTCCTCCTGGTAACCCGACTGTAAATGTTGTCTATCCCGCCTTGAAGCCTGATACTCCTTCAGTTGCGACTCTCGAATCAGCAGTTGCTCTCTGATTCGGGCGCAGCCAGGATTCCCCATCATCGCTTGCTTCAGTTGCGCCACCGACCGCGTGAGGTGCAGCAACGTAGCCTTAACTCTCTTCCCCTCCTCTCTTGTGTAAGCCCTCAAACCAGCATTAAGGCGAGCCAGGAGCAGCTCGAAATCATCACCCGCATGACTGACCGCCGCTTCCACCACCCTGCGGACACCTGGACGGCCAAGCAGCGAGGCAGGGAGTCTCCAGATGCCTGGGCCCAGCTTCGCCTTTGGGTTGCAGCGGAAAGCGAATCTTATTGCGAAACCATGGTCAGAGATCGGGTCCTCAGGTGAAACGTGTGATGCGGAGATTAGCCATGGAAGCAAGGATTGCAACGCCATGGCCCTATCAATCCTCGTGCTAGATTGCTGCGCATGCGAGAAGAAGGTGTATTCCCGTTTGTTGGGGTGAAGTGCACGGAAAGCATCAGAAGGCTGGAAAACCCCACATCTCCTGCACAACCTCTCGTTTCCTGCCGCTGATCCCGCACCAGATGTCGTGTCCAAAATGGGTCGTCTAGCATGTTCAGATCGCCGATGATAAGAAGGTGATCACCGGGGTCTAGCAGATCCTCTACCGGTCCGACCACATCCCTGATGAAGACTAGATGCGCGGCAGGCGACGCTGGAAAGTATGTCGCGAGCAGCACTATCTTGAGACCTCTACCGACTACCTCTGACTTGATCAGTCTACCTGAAGGGTGGATCACCGTATTCTGAATCTGTAAGTGTGGATTTCCTACGACTATGGCTACTCCGCCAGCTCTGGCTGTGGGTGTGGAGGCTACTACAGTGTGGTTCCTAAGGGACTTCCAGTAACTGTGAGAGGTTGGAATTCGTGTGTCTGAGAGAACATTAATGTCTGCAGCTGTTCTAATCCAGTCGGTTACAAAGCCTTGCTTGACACTATTGCCTAAACCGTTTACATTAAGGCCCGCGAAAGAGATGGTATTTCTTGTACTCATTGGATCACCTCCTGGCAGCCCCTACGCGTCATCCACATGCTGAGGAAAATCACTGAACCGAAAACTGATACAAGGCATGCCGTTGCTGATGCTGTCGCTAACCATTTGTCGACCCAATTCTCTGTCAGAACCCGTACTCTTTCTTCAGGGGTGCAAGAACGGCCTTGTCCATGGTGATGCGTGTGGCAGTGCTGATCACCTCCAACTGGATCAGATGGTTCCCTGAGGCAATGTGATCTCCAGCCGACATGAAGGACTTCCCCTTCGCTTTCCCGCAGCCTGACTGGGTGCACAGCCACTCCTCCCGATTGCAGCTGGTGGAAACAAACGCAATGGTAGGGTCCTGAAGAAGCGGAGTGACTAGCGACGAGGTGCGCAGTGAGGCAGCTGTGGCAGGAAAGCAAGGCGTTAGCAGGTGTGGTAAGAGGAAAAGCCAGGATAGCAAGATGCGGAACCGTGCAGTTACCGTTAATCCTATGCGCCCTTCCCAAGGTAAGATTCCACTTCCCTATGTTACATTGCCGCTCCGTAATGAAAACATCATGACATTTGTCATAGTGTTGTCCACCACAGAGAGAGCAACAGAGCGAAGGGTAGTGGATCAGCAGGGTCTTGCTCCTGTCCATCGGATCCGTAATAGTCTGCTTCAGACGCCGGTTCTGCTCCTCCGGGAACGGGTAAACCAAACCCTTGATGATGTCTGTATCAGCTCCTGTAACTGGGTGAAGGACTTGGTGGAAACACTTTCCCTCCTTGAAGATAGGCCGCTGTTTAACCTTCAACTTGATGACTGTCAAGCATTCATTCAGAAGATCAGGTGAGATGTTAGCAGAGATATTTTTGAAAACTACCTCAATAGCATGCGGGTTAGCCGACTTCTCTTTCAGAAACTCCGCATCTTCCGTAAACTGCCAGAAAAGCGTGATCTTCTTGCTGTTGCCAGATCGCTGATATTCCACCGTCTTCTGGCAAACTTTCTCAATGTCTTCCTCTTGCAGGAGAGACAGCTGCAGGCGGCAGTATTTGGTCCTCGCGACGAAAGCAGGCTGGAGCGTCTGCACCTTGGCTCCGTCAACAGCACCAGGCGACAGAGAGGGAGCCCAAACTCTCTTCAGCAGCATTCGAACCGGCGTGATGACCGCACCCAGCTCGCCTTGCAGGAAAAACGGCACCAGCAGAATGGCCGTGTAACGAATCCTTGTTAGCAGGTCGCACGAGAAATCCAGATCCAGCTCATCGTCAGATTCGTCGTCCAGAAAATCATCATCTTGCTGCTTTGACGGTCCTGCCTTATCAGCAACAGAAAGGCCCGAGCTGCCAGCAGGGCTCAGATTCTTGACAGGTGAAGAAACGACTTGCTTCCCATTTTGCTTCCCTGATGCAGGATCCACAGGAGGGAGAGAGTCGGAGCCCTCAGGGAGATCAGCCGGGACGTCAGCCAGAGTCTTCTTGCTGCCCTTAGGAGGCATGGTGCAAGGATGACAATAAAGCAGCGACTGAGAGGGGTAACTCCAGTTGAAAGAGGCTGAGGAAGGCGATGATAATGCTGCTTGTCTGAGCACTGGGACTTTATAGGGCCAAGGCGACCTCGACCATTGTTCTCGTTGCAGATGATGAGAAACCGAGAATGTGGCCTCAGGATCATGCCTAGGGAAGCGAGCTTTGATAACCACAGGAAACTGTGCAGACAAAAGGTTATCCTTGATGTTAAACTTTGAAAACGGAGAAAGCGCGAAAGAAGCTGACGTGGCATTAAATTACATTGGAAAGTTCCCCCACGCGATTCGAAGTTTGGCCACCATGAGTCCAACCGGCCATGGTCGCAATTCCTGGCCTGTCCGTCAGTGTACGACAATGGAGATCGTGCCACGTTTGCTGGGTGTTGGGACTAGTGTTAGACATGCCAGTTTCGTGCACACAGCCGTCACATATATTTCTATCCTGCCCACGAAACCCATTTCTGCGTTGCTTACTTGATTTTGCCAAGTAAACCCACGTTGCCTTGATATGACCATTGTGCCCAGAATTTACGTCAGGCGCAATCGTCAGGCACGGCCGTTTAGGTTTTGCCTGACGAAGTTCCTCCAACACTTGGTATGCGAGCTGGCGCGTCAATTTCATTGGATATCGGACATGCGACGTTGGCGACATCTGTCGCCCGCCTAAATGCGGTTCGGTGGTTAGAGTGGGAGCGTTCCCACCAAAGGCACCATCATCTTCGGAAAAACGGGCTGGTGGGCAAACTTCGATGGTGGGCAAACTTGAGAATGCGCTATTTGAACACGTTTTTGCGGACCGATTGTGGCGAAGTCCGAGTTTTGCTGATGAACTTTGAGGAGAAAGTAGGGAGAGGAAGGCGAGGACCAGCAGACTGTGACTTGGGCATTACGGGTTTCGCCATGCTGACCCACAGCATCGTGTTTGGCGGAACGCTGGCAGATGCCTCCGAGCCGAAGCTGGGGCAGTGGGTTCGTATGATACTTGCTGGCACAGCTTCAAGTTAGCTCTCCAGAGACGGAGGGATAAAAGCGGAGCTATGATGGACCCTTGTCAGTCAGAAATTCGTTGAGCTTACCTGGTTCATTATACTTGAGTTAGCCATGTCAGAATCCCAACCACTAGACCATTGGGATAAAAGGGCTTGTTTGTGTAGCGGGTAAGTGCGCCCATAACCCCCCAGGCCAACATGCCTGTAACCCTTCCCTAGGATCAATCGAGGATCACCAGTGGACCTCTGACACCCCCCCGCACTGGGATGCCCGAAGTGCACACACCAAGATTCGAACCCGAGACCTTCGCTCTGATATCATGTCAGAATCCCAACCACTAGACCATTGTGATAAAAGGGCTTGTTTGTGTAGCGGGTGAGTGCGCCCATAACCCCCCAGGCCAACATGCCTGTAACCCTTCCCTAGGATCAATCGGGGATCACCAGTGGACCTCTGACAAGCCATACCCTTCATCATGAAATGATTTCAAACTTCCGCTGACTTACCTTCGCCGACAAGCTCAGACTCGTTGACATTATGAGAAATTACATCAAGCTCCTGATCGTGGCGGTTCTCGCCGCCCTCCTCGTCTCTGCCGGTGAGTCACTCGCTGATTCAAGATAACTGATGTTAATCTTTAATTGTTATCATTATCTAACAGACCGACAATTCTCGTTTGGCTTCTGACAACCTTTGTCGAAGTGAATTCTCGTCTTGTTCACCTCGTCTCTCGGGTCACTTTTCAGTGACGCGGTTGTTGTGGGGTTGCTGCTGTTTCTTTTTGCTACTAATACTCGTCCTCCATTTTCCTTCCAGGTCTTCCGAGTATGGCTGTGAGCGTTTGCCAAAAGGGAAAGCCGAAGTTGTTGTCAAAATCGACAACCTGTGTGGCCGTATTTGCAAAGTACTATAAGAACGACCCTTCGCTCTTCCAGAAGTACAACGGCTACGCGTGTCAAGGCCGTCTTAAAGCCCGGGTACAGCATGGTAATTTTCAAGTTCAAGATTCTTGAACTTGAAATCGCAAAAAACAGGGTTACCCTACTTGTTTTGAAGAAACTCTCGCAACCCCAGGCAATCGTCCTGCGACAACGGAACCCGAGTGCCCAAAAACAGAACTGACGCGATGATCGCCAACCATATGCACTGTTCACCACTCACATAACTTGCTTACCAAGTCGTACTCATAGACTAGGAGGCTCCAAGGCAAAAACTAGCGCTAGTTGGCAAAAGCGAGTCGTTGTTAGGGCTTTTTTTTTGTGCGGAAAAAAAAAAGGTATCCACCTCAACCATCTTAGTCAGTGCACGCTCCGATTTCCCCCTCATGTCGCCGGTCTCGTGTTACAACCCGTTCACCCGCAGCACTTACGTTAGTGAACAATCGTCGCGTTACTCGCGCCTTGCTTTCAAGCTCGCGTCGCACAAGATGCTCTTTTCACACTTGCTGCGGTTCAGCCTCGCGTCCCGATCGTACCGTTTTAGGCACGAGTCGCTCACGCGAATGCCGTACATGTTCGCCAGACGCGCGCTGCCGTAAGTCTCATATATTCCCCTTCGTCGGCCGCTCTTTCCCACGTCATACCGCTTTCCTCGTCGCCCGCAATTTCCCTCATCTCCCTCGCCGCCCTCGCCTCTGCTTGTCGCCCGCGCTTCCCGTCGTCGCCCTTGCTTCCCCGTCACCCGTGCTTCCCGTCGTCGCCCTTGCTCTCCCGTCACCCACGCTTCCCGTCGTCGCCCTTTCTTCCCCGTCACCCGCGCTTCTTCTCATCTCTCGCTCTCCTCCTCAACGTCTTCGTTTCCCTCGTCGCCATAACGCCCTCGCTTCTGCCTGTCGCCCTCGGCTCCCCACATACCCGCCTCCATCTCCCCCACATACCACCCGCCTTCCTCCCCACATTCTATTCCGCTTGTCATACGCTCTTCTCCTCTTCCTCCCTTCCATCTCTCCCTCCCTCCCTCTCCCTCTCTCTATCTCTCTTTCTTCGAAAACCTCTCTCACCCTTTCTTCCACCCTTCTTCCTCCTGAGGGGAAGGGACTGAATGAGAGACACAGAGGGGATAGGACAGAAGGGTATGCAGATGTTCTTTTTCCCCACGCGCTTCCCCTCATCGCCCTCACTTCCCCCAAATTGTTGCCCCCTGTCTCTGTTTTTCCCAACCACCCGTTCTCCCACCAGCCCTGCTTCCCCCTTTGCCCTGATTCCTTCCACCCTCTGCCCTGCTCCCCCCCATCCCCTTCCCTGCTTCCCCCCACCCTCTGCCCTGCTCCCCCCATCCCGTTCCCTGCTTCCCCCCACCCTCTGCCGTGCTCCCCCCCATCCCCTTCCCTGCTCCCCCCCACCCTCTGCCCTGCTTCCCCTCATCCCATTCCCTGCTTCTCCCCACCCCCTGCCCTGCTTCTCCCCATCCCCTTCCCTGCTTCCCCCCATCCCCTTCCCTGCTTCCCCCCATCCCCTTCCCTGCTTTCCCCCATCCCCTTCCCTGCTTCCCCCCATCCCCTTCCCTGCTTCCCCCCATCCCCTTCCCTGCTTCTCCCCATCCGCTTCCCTGCTTCCCCCCATCCCCTTCCCTGCTTCCCCCTACCCTCTGCCCTGCTCCCCCCCATCCCCTTCCTTGCTTCCCCCCATCCCCTTCCCTGCTTCTCCCTCTCCCTTCCCTGCTTCCCCCCATCCCCTTCCCTGCTTCCCCCCATCCCGTTCCCTGCTTCCCCCCATCCCCTTCCCTGTCTCCGTGTTACCCGTTTCCTTGTCCCTTTTCCCTGTGTCTCCCCACCCTCTGTTCTTATTCCTTCACCCTCGCACACCTTACCGCCTGCCGACCTTACCGCCTGCCCACCTTACCACCTCAAATCCTTCCCTTCTCATCCGCGCGCAGGTGTGGCGGAAGGTGCACGTGCTGCCTTGTGCCTGCCGCTTGCTGTCCACGCCTTCCATCCCACCTCTCCCAAACCACGTCTTTTTCTATATGTGCCTCCCCTGCTGGCCCATACCCTCTGCTGATCTGCGCCCTATGAGGCCGTGCCCTCTCTGTTCCCCGCCCCTGCATGTACGGAGGGATTGGGAGCCGCTTTGCATAGCAGCCAGCACTGTGCAGGCAAGGATTCGAACTGGTGGATCATGGGGCAAGGGTAAGGGAGTGTGTTGTGCGGCATGGTCAGTGCGGAGTGGCGTGGGAGGGAGGCAAAATGGCAAGCACAGGGTGAAGGCAGGCAGGGGCCGTGGCAAAAATATGGAGATTGGCAATGTCAGCAGGATGTGCGGCAGGATGCTGGCGGCAGCGCACGTTAGGGCATGTGCGGTGGGGCAAGGCTGGTCTGCGCTGCGGTGGGCCGGGGGAGTGCAGATTGGTGCAGGGAAAGGCACGACATGTTCCTATGTGGCCGGCCGAGACCCTTATGAGTTGCGGGATCTGAGCTTGAGAGTGTACGCTTGGAAATGTATTGCTAATGTGTTTCTTGATATGTAATTTTCATGATTCACAATTTGCTTTTCTATGCCAATTCAGCACTTGAATATTTTATGTTATTCTGTAGTGAAGTCTCAAACTTATCCAAATATTTTAGTTGATTAGTAATCACAGGAAATATTGTTCAGTGTACTGCCTCACTCTTACTCGCGTGAGTTTCGCGTTCCCCACCATTTCAACCCCAAGAGAAGCGCAGTGTGCCCCACCAGTGGTGGGGCGGGAGCAGTGCTCTGTCGCACACTGGGTCGTTTGGCCCTCCCATATCCTCGGGGACAGCTGTCGCATAGTATCGTGGCGAAGACTGTTTTTCCCGCCTCCTGAATTCGGTTTCGCCCCACACACATTTTCGAAATTCACGATTTTCAGGTTTTCGCCTAACTGTTTCAACCCCACATAACTTGAAAAATTACCATGCTGACCTCGGGCTTTAAGTCCAACTTCATCTGTCTGCCGTAGCTCGGGTGGATAGCATAATGTCAGACGGGCCTTCAGTTTGATTGCCTTTGCAGGCAGGTCATGCATGGCAGACGTGTGGCCCCCGCTTTCGAGTTGTACAATTATACTGCAATTAGCAACAGCGACAGCTAGTGCTGCTCACAATGATTGGGACATACACACAGACAAGCAGAGTTCAAATATCCTCTTCAATCCCAAAGTGCATTCTTATTCAAATTCTTACCATGATAACTAGCTATTCAAACTTGGGGTTCACGTCCCAACACGAGTCACTCCAAATGTATCAGGGGGAAGGAGGCAAGGGGGAAATGGGTGAGAGGGGCATGGGGGAAGGAGGCAAAGAGGAAGGAGCAAAGGGGGGAATGGGTGTGAGGGGCACGGGGGAAGGAGGCAAAGGCCTGCCGATGGGTGTGAGGGTGAGGGGGGAAGAAAGCAAGGGGGAAGGAGGACGGGGAAAGATGGGTGTGAGGGGCAGGGGAGAAGCAGGGAAGTGGGAAGATGGGTGTGAAGGGCAGAGGGGAAAGAGGCAAAAGGGGAGATGGGTTTGAGGAGCAGGGGGGAAGGAGGCACAGGGGGAAGATGGGCGTGAGTGAGGGGCAGGGGGGGAGAGGTCAGGGAGCGCGAGCACAATGTACAGCACCAACCGACTTTTGAGGCGTCTCAACAGGTGCGAGCACAATGTGCAGCACCAACCGACTTCTGAGGCGTCTCAACAGGCGCGAGCACAATGTACAGCACCAACCGACTTTTGAGGCGTCTCAAAAGGCGCGAGCACAATGTACAGCACCAACCGACTTCTGAGGCGTCTCAACAGGCGCGAGCGCAATGTACAGCACCAACCGACTTTTGAGGCGTCACAAAAGGCGCGAGCACAATGTACAGCACCAAGCGACTTCTGAGGCGTCTCAACAGGCGCGAGCGCAATGTACAGCACCAACCGACTTCTGAGGCGTCTCAACAGGCGCGAGCGCAATGTACAGCACCGACCGACTTCTGAGGCGTCTCAACAGGCGCGAGAACAGGCGTCTCAACAGGCGTCTCAACAGCACCAACAGACGTCCACCTTCACCGTCAGCAGCAGCGCTGGCAGAACATGCATCACAGCCTGATGATAGAATGCCTTGAAGGTTGCATGGCCGCTGAAGTATCCATCAGTGTGTGCAGGAATCCGGAAGAACGACTGTCTGCTGTACAGAGTGATGCGTTCGAGTGCAGCGTCAAGTTCCCGCAGGGTCCCCGTACTCAGCTTCACCTTCAGCCCCTCCAAGATGTGCTTGTACACGCCGAGAAGGGACATGTGCATGATGTCGGATGTCAGTTGCCGGTACGGGTTGCCAAAGTCAGTGTCGCCAAAACGTTGTCCCCACAACGCACTCTGTAATTACATGTGCACGCATACACACTCACACACACACATACACACACACATGCACACACACACACATGCGCTCGCACGCGCGCGCACACATTCACGCGCACATACTCACACGCACGCGCACACACACACGCACACTCACACACTCACACACACGCACACTCACACACACTCACACACACACACACTCACACACACTCACACACACATGCTCGCACGCGCGCGCGTGCACACACACAGTCACACACTCACGCACACACTCACACACACGCGCACACACACACGCACTCACACACTCACACACACACACAAGCGCACACACACACACACACCTACACACACGCTCGCACGTGCGCGCACACACTCACGCATACACACTCACACACACGCGCACATGCACACGCACACTCATACACTCACACACACATACACACTCACACACACAATCACACACACACATACACACACACATACCCACACACACGCTTGCACGCACGCGCACACACTCACGCACACACACTCACACATACGAGCACATACACAGGCACACTTACACACTCACATACACACACATACACTCACACACACAATCACAGACACACATACACATACACACACAGACACAGACACACACACACAGACACACTCACTCACACATACACACACACACGCACACACACACACATACACGCGCACACACACACACACACACACACACACACACACACACACACACACACACACACACACACATACACACACACACACACACACACACACACACACACACACACACACACACACACACACACACACACACACACACACACACACACACACACACACACACACACACACACACACACACACACACACACACACACACACACACACACACACACACACACACACACACACACACACACACACACACACACACACACACACACACACACACACACACACACACACACACACACACACACACACACACACACACACACACACACACACACACACACACACACACACACACACACACACACACACACACACACACACACACACACACACACACACACACACACACACACACACACACACACACACACACACACACACACACACACACACACACACACACACACACACACACACACACACACACACACACACACACACACACACACACACACACACACACACACACACACACACACACACACACACACACACACACACACACACACACACACACACACACACACACACACACACACACACACAACACACACACACACACACACACACACACACACACACACACACACACACACACACACACACACACACACACACACACACACACACACACACACACACACACACACACACACACACACACACACACACACACACACACACACACACACACACACACACACACACACACACACACACACACACACACACACACACACACACACACACACACACACACACACACACACACACACACACACACACACACACACACACACACACACACACACACACACACACACACACACACACACACACACACACACACACACACACACACACACACACACACACACACACACACACACACACACACACACACACACACACACACACACACACACACACACACACACACACATACACGCACACACAAACAACCAAACAAACACGATACCCGTTAGCTTTGTTGAACGAGTCAAAGCTTTACAATTCTATCCAAGTTGCATATAGGCGTACGACAAGACATACCTTGACGCAATGCGTGCTGTGGAGCTTGGACAAATCCTTTCGTGCCCCTTGTGTCGGCGCGCTCTCCATTTCCATCACATGTTGCATCTGTCCTTCCTCCGTCCGGAAAGTTAGAGAGTACTACATGTTACTCAGCTCCTCCCTCGGAACGGTGCACCTGGGGCATGGGAGACGAGTCTTGATGCCAGACTTGGTCCCTGCAACCTTGCACTGCTCTGGATAGTCGCCGATGTAGGAGTACGTGATCGGGTATACCGTACGAAGAATGCCATACGGGTCCGTCAACTCCATTCCCCTGCAAGCAACAGATACATAACGGTACTGTCAACTGGTGTATGGCGATACAACACTCCAACACGCACAATAGACGATTGCAACATATTGCGATCGCGTTCAATCCACTTACGAGTGTTGCGCCTTCTTCAGGTCTTCCATGATGAGATCAAGCGCTTCCTGGAACACCTCAAGCCGCCGTTTCTTCCTAGCCGCGTCCGTGAAGAGAGAGCCATCATCCTCGGGCAAGAGAGCACAGAGCCTGTGCCCGTGGGGTTTCCATCGATTCCCAGGAGCAATGTTGGCCAGCGAAATGTACACTGGCCAACCTTTCAGCCCGCCATCGGTCGTCAGGGTCGTTCCATCTGAATAGATGATTACTGCAGCTACGGCAGTGGGTGGGTCAGCACCAGCAGGCAGTCGACGCAAAACCTCCCGCCACCAACTTCCCGTCTCAGGACCCTTGTAGATTTGTTTGCCTTGGGTAGCTTTCTTCCGAGGTCTCACCACGAAGCCGTGCGCATTCGCCACGTTCTCGTATAAACCTTGTACGCACGAGAGAGCCGAACGCCGCCAGAGAATCACAGGCTTCAAATCCCCTTCCTTCGTCAACTCCACCTGCTCGAACGGTTCAATATTCGCCCCTGCCAATTGCTCCTCCTCGTACTTGTCGAACTCTGCAAGAGACTTAATGGTTAGCCGTCCGGGATTGGCCACCACTTCGACGAGAATGGATAGTAGTTCCTTTATATCCACACGCGATAGCCCAGATCCACCAGCTGCCGTGCGAACCAATCGGTACACCCAAGCATCAATATCAACCGAAGTTGCATCGCACTCAGGGGCAAACAAGTAGCCCGTCGCATCCTCATTCAATTCACCCGCGTCCGGTTGGTGATCCAAACGGCTCGGCCCTGGTTGTGTTTGACTTCGTGGGCGTTTGCTGGATTTCGAGAGAATGCGGTCTGCAGCTGCTTGAAGACTTCCTACGGCTCCTCCCTGGCTGCTGTCATCTCGCAATCCCTCAGATGCTGCCTCTGCTGGTTGGAATTTGTGCTTTCTTGCCTTGACGTGACATGCACTCTGATGTGCAAAAGAGAACGTCGCTATACATCCACGGTATCCAACTGTAGCACAATAATGCGTTGTATTACATTGAAGTACACAAAACATCCACTCCAAGCTGCTCAGTGCTACTATATCTACAGCTTCTACAACCAGAAACTGTCTTGGCCGAAGGGTAAAACAGCAACCTTGTGATTTCCTGCAGGATCAGAACAAAACGAAAATCCAGGACATGTTAAAAACGCCAACCACTTCCAGTAAAACAATAATAACAAAGCACAATTGGACATAAGACAGGAATCAAACGAACACATACGCTAAATTGTTAGACAATGTTGTGCAGCATGATCGAAAATGCTTACCAAGAGCTTCAGTGTAAAGGCGTGAATGGAGATGAGCGGACCACAAGGAGACACGCTTGCAGATTGCCAAACCTTGGTATGATAAAAAGGGGGGAATCAGCAAAACATCAAAGAAAATCGTGGCAGAACATAACGACTGACGTCAACGCATAAAAAATCCGTCATAAAATCACATTGTCAGATTGATCGACTCAGCGAAGACAAAGGTTAGTGACATTTAAACATAAATTTGAATTTACGTTGATATGGTAGCGAAATGAAAGTGCACCTGCCTACAAAATAAAATAAGATCACCTACATTTGTCACAGTGACGGACTCCGATGGGTCTCGTGGTGCTGTATCAATATCCTCAATGCGCCTATTCGAATCTGACACGAGCTTGAGGTGGCAGGGACGTAGGCTAGGCGCTGGAGCTTCTGGAGAAGCTTGAGTTAAGGAAGGTGAAAAAAAAAACACAATCTGAGAGAAACAAGTGAGAAATGACGAAGCCTCAGAGACTACCCCCCCTGAACGGAAATGCTTGGGGGGAGGGCGAGAAGATAGTTGAAAGGGACCTCTGAAGGACGAGGTGTCATTACATGTGTGTTACACACCCAACCTGAAAGTTTACAACAGTTGTTTAGACACGTCTGACCTCGCACAACCGCACTTAACCTTTCATTTCATTACGAATTCACGTTTTTGTTCGTTGCGATGGAGGGAAATACGATTGGTTTCCAACGGTGCAGGTCAACCTAGGGTAGCAGGCTTGTTTCTATTGGTTCAAAAACAATCGCGGCGATTATTTGCCACGCGTCAACGAATCCACCAGCGTGCACCTAGACAAGTGATTTTGCTCGAGGCTCCGTAACCAGGGCTCCGTAATGGGCGAGGGTTACTTTGTCCTCACGCAGGACACGCCAGAAAAACGACGAACCAAGGGCTGGGCACTCAGCCACTCCGACTGCTGCGAAATCGGGCGGCTGATCCTTGGGCGATGTTGGGGGCCGAGCCAAGATCGCACGTGGCTCGGTCGAAAGCTGACACAGCCCGGGCCCCAGCTCGGCTGGGACCACCTGACCCAACTACACCAGGGCTGTGCCAGGCTGACGCAGCACGCATTTTCGACTGGTTACCCAGCGAAAAGAAAACCTGGCGCGCAAACACCTGACGCGCCAGCATTTCTGTTGTGCGAACTGCAGAAGCGAAGTATCCACCTACCTGTAATGTTTCACGCTGGCAAAGTATTGATTCGCCTGCAACCTCCGAATTCCCCCACCCTGTGGGCACCTGGACAGACCCGAACGTTGAACGATCTGTCCCTGCCAGGGCCCACGTGCGATCTATCTGTAGATGGGCTCCTCGCATGTTGACTGGGCGATACTTTACAGATTGGATTAAACGGCCAGGATGAATCGTATGTGCAACGTTTCCTATCTGTATAGTGAATTTCT